AGAGCAGATGGGAGCTCTGGCAGCTGGGGAGGGGGTGCTGAGCCGAAGGGGCACCCTCCCAGGGCCTCTGCTGACCGTGTTGGCGTCTGTCATGGTCCTCCTGGGGCAGGCAGTGGCTGTGCCGTCCTGGACCAGTAGAGGCCTCAGTGTGTCTGTGGGCTGCTGAGGACAGGTGCTGGGGACTGCCATCCCCTGTGGGCCTGATTCAAGTCCCGGCTGCTCCACTTCCCATCCAGCTCCCTGCTGGGGCCCTGAGAGAGCAGTGGGTGACGGCCTGTTGTGCTGGGTGTCTGTCTTCTGTAACTGCCTTTCATATAAATAAACTCTTTAACAAAATACAGTGAAATAAACAGGACAGATTGTGCCATGGGGGTCTGTCCACGCCTTGGATCGACCGCTGTCCAACTTGCTTTGAGGGACAGGCCCTGTGAGGCCTTTCTGCATGCACGGGGCTACATGATCCACCTTGACCACAGATCCCCGGGCGATCCTGGAGGTTGAAGGCTGTGCAGCCTCCTCTCCCTGGGATAGGACGTCTCAGGGTATGGCTGGCTGCACCTGGGAGCTGTGGTTGAGGGCTGGTATGTGGTGGATGCCTGGAGGGGCTGGCTCCCAGGGCTGGGCACTGGATGGGGCTGTCGAGTCAGAGTGCCTTGCTCCGAGCTGCACTGCCTGTGGGCTTACGCAGTGCTTCCTCCAGCCAAGAACCCGTCGTGGGCACTCTAGGTTTGTGGAGTATGTGGGCTGGCAGGGCCGGGGTAGATTGAGGTGTGATATCCCACGGGAATTGCTGTTCCCTGATGCCTAGGTTGGGGTGGGGTGGGGTATGGACAGGCAGAGCCTGGGGCGTGGGGCAGCCATGGGCTCCTGGGAGGGCTTGCCTTGTGCTGCAAAGGGGTCCCTGTAGGAGCTCTTGGGAGTGAGCCTGCTAGGGCCTGCAGGAGGCAGGGGCAGGTGGAGGGTGTTAGCACCTCAGCCACCATGGAGTCCTTGCTGGCTTGGCCTGCCTCCAGGCCCCCCTTGTAGTGTGCCATAGAACTGCCTGCCCTCTGCTTCCTGGGCCTGGCCAGGCTGGCACGGCAGCATAGACCAGGGCACCGGCCATGGGTGTTCAGGGCTGTGGGGAAGGCCTTGCACCGGGTGCAGCAGTGACCCTCTCAGGAGCTGTGCGTGAGCCTGTGGTTCGCAGTGTGGACACTGGCCTGCTCTCCCTGTCCGTGTCACTTCGGTCTCCTCCCCATGCTTTGTGGAGGACTGCAGTCAGCAAAGACCCCCAACCGCAGCAGTCCCCGGGGTCACTGCCGTGGGTCTGGCTTTCTGGTGGAGATTTGAGGAACAGAGCTGTGACTGGACCGTGGACGTCCCTCTCGGAGAGTGAAGTGTGTATCCACGTCGGTGCCTGACTTGGGGCCCCACACCTGGCAGTGCCCTCCGAGCTGGCCTGCTTCCGGGTGTGCCAGCTTTAGACTTTGGCCATGCCGTGTGTTCCTATGTGGCTGCCTGTGATGGCTGGTGCATGTGCCTCATGTTGGCTTGGGCTTGGGTTAGGGGACAGTCCTGTCCCCGTCTCCAGTGCCTCACATGTCTTCCCAAGCCACAACCATGCCAGGTCGGCTGGTCTGGAAGTGGGGTACCTTTTGGGTCTTGTACTCCTAGGACAGCTGTTGTGAGGCGGCCGTGGTTAAGGAGGCTCCAGACATGTGCCGAAGTGTGGGGCAGCGTGTGCAAGGGTTGCTCCGTGTCCCCTCCCCCTGCCCCCCATGGCTGGGCTTTGTTCCCGTTCGGTCAGTTTTGTTGGTACCATTCTTTTTTTTTGCGCCCCTAAGACTGACTTGTTGGAAAGAGTGAGTGAGAGCTGTCCACTGGTTCTCTCCCCATGTAGCCACAGTGGCTGAGTCAGAAGCCCAGGGCTCCTGGAGTGCTGGAGCCGTGGCCTGCTGCTGGGATCTGGCCGAGAATGAGGCATGCCAGCACTCTGTGCCAAGAAAGCACAGCTCCTGCTCGGATGCGGTCCCACCATTTCCATTTTCCTGCTGTTCCCTGGAGAAGGGCTGCATTGGGGTCTCGAAGCCTGCACCTGCCATGATCGCTGGCCTACCCCTTGCCCTGTGGGAGCCCCCTTGTTTGATGGCTGTGGCTTCTAGGAGGGCTGTCCCTTGCCCTGCGGGAGCTCCCTTGGGGGCCTTGGTGCCAGTTCTGTGGGCCGGGGACTCTGAGTCTGCCCAGCTCATCTCCATGCCCTGCCTTCCTGCACCTCTCTGGGACACCATCCTGTGCAGGACACTCCTGGTAGCTCAGGTGCTGCTCCACCCCACTCATGGTTGCCCCCAGGAGACCTCACCTCTTAGATGTGCAACCTGGCACACTCGTGGTAGACCCCGCACCCCTCCTCGGTAGACTGGGGCAGCCTTACCTGTCTTCCTGCCATGCCAGTGGCTTGTGGTCAGAGGGAGCTGCTGTCCTCTGAAACATCGCCGCGTGCTGCCTTGCGGTTACCGTTGACCTGGGGGGCTTGGGGCCGTGTGGGCTGCCCACCCCCCACAGGGCAGCTGAGGCCCCTGGCTGGACGCAGAGGGCATCTCCGCTGGGCCTGGCTGGGAGGCTTCTCCCCAGCCAGCTCTGCTGGGCGCAAGGTGCAGCTCCAGACGTCCTGAGAGATAAAGGGTTGGGCCAGAAGTAGGTGGGGAGGGGGCTGGCCTAGCTGCCCAGCCGGACGCACAGAGACCATGCCTGTGTGCCTGAGGTCTCTCCGTGGATCCTGCTGAGATGTCTGGGCCCACGTTCTGCCAGGGCCAGTGCATTGAGGCTCAGCATGGTCCAGGGGTCTGCACGCAGTGAAGGAAAGTAGTAAGGGTCTTGGGAGTAGCCACCAGTTCTAGGACTTGGAAGCCCCCTTGAATGAGACCTGAGGAATCGGCCTGAAGCCAGTGCCGTCCCAGGTGCGGCAGCACTGGGCAGGAAGGGCTTGGGGTCTCTCATGGGCCCCACCCTCTGCCCTGCACCTGGCCGTCCTGGGTGTCACATGGCACCGTAGTGTGGCCCTGCATGGTCAGCTGTCCAGAGAACTTGTCCCAGCAGCTATGGGCCTGGCACTGGAAGGGAGGATGTGTGTACCAAGACAGGGCTGTTGGCAGTGCCCATGGCAGGGCTATGTGCCACCTCTGTCAGCGCCACTTACTCGAGGTATACCTGGAAGTTTGCAAAGCCTGGCCCAGCCAGAAACCCACTGGCCACTCCGAGTGGGGAGGGGTCACAGAGTGTGGAAGCCCGAGTGCTGAGGGACCTGCTAGTGTCAGCAGCTGTAGAGAGGGGTCTGCATCCTGAGCTGAGCTCTTCCAGGTTAGCTTGAGGCTCCAGGGTCTTTCCTGGCAGAGCCTCTGGGGTGAAGTGTGCTGCAGAGTTCTGGGAACTGTGTGGTCCCAGGCAATATTGCAGCCAGGGGTCGACCAGTGGGCCTGGACCCCCATGGAGACCTGGTGCCTGCTGCTGGCCTAGGCTGGCCCTGCACAACCGGGGACGTCCTGAGGCAGGGCCAAGGGAGACCACTCAGCCCCAGGCCTGACCCCAGATCCCCATGGCAGGCTGTGGTGCCCGTCAGATCAGCGGGAAGCCAGGGTCAGGAGTGGAATGAAGGGGGCCCCCGGGGCCTGGTGGCAGCCACAGTGCCCCTGCTGGTGAGCTAACTGCCCCCGTGGAGGCCCACCCCCTTCTCACTTGCTGAAAAACATTTCATGACTTTGATCTAGAAGCTGAAAAGGTTCTTGCACCCACTGATCCAGCCCCAAGTGTGTCATAGCTAAGCCTGGACAGACAAGAGCCTGGAACACCAGCCTGGGCTCTACCCCAGCAGGTGGCAGGGACCCACGAGGTGGGGGTTGGCAGCCTGGACCCACACTGGTGCCTGGTGTTGGGCCACGGGAATGTCGGTGGCATCTGGACTGTGCTCACTCTTATCGCTCCTGTGGGGCCGCAAGCCCTGGGACTCTCCCTGGTTTGTGGCGTTCGTCGGGACAACCTGGCAAGGCCCTCAGCCCAGAAATGGACAGGGCTGTTGGCCCAGAGACCTGCTCTCGGGCTCCTCTGGTTGCTGGCTGGCTGAGGGGGCAGCGTGGGTTGCACAGGCCCTCCCTTCTGCCTGTTGGGACTGTCAGACCATGATTTTGTCAGATCAGCAGAGGGGTGGGGAGGCCAGCTCTGCAGCTGCCCCCGAGCTGCCCTCGGCTGACGGTCTCCTCGGACCCAGCAGGGACTGTTGGTCAGTCTGGGTCTCGGCTCTGCCCTGGGAAGCATGGGAGAGGTAGCGCAAACACATGAGCTGGGTGCGTGCTGCTCGCTGGTGCTGCCTGCTTGCCGGGGTGCAGCCCTGCACAGGGCACAGGCCTGCCAAGTAGCTCTGCTCTTCCCATCACTGTGCTAGGGCCCAGGGCCTGTTGGGAAAGGGAAGCCGGGGGTGCCCTTCCTCGTCCTGGCAGCTCTGGCCCAGCCACAGCTGCAGCTGCGTGGGGCTGGCGGCGTAGCCACAGACGTCTGACACGCCTCCCCGCCGCATCTGAGGTTTCTCGGCAGTCGCTCCGTCTTGCAGGTTTCCTGGGTGAGAGTGGCGCATGTTTCCATGCCTGTGAGACAGGAAGCCCCACCCTGGCGGTGCACCTGGGCGTCCTCCGCAGCGAGGCTGCTGGGTGCTGCTCTTGCAACCCAGGCCAGCGTGTTGCCCCTGCTTGTCCCCTGCACACTGCCTCCATGTCTGTATCCCATGGGAGCTGGCCTTGGCCCAGCAGGTCCTTCTCACCTGGCCTGGCTGTGGGACAGAGGGCCTGGCAGCCGTACCAGCATCAGGCCTGCAGGTGGTGTGCGTGTCCCCAAGTGGTGGCCTCTGGCTCGCCTTCCTGTGTACAGCTCCCAGCTGGGGCGCCAGCGCGGTCCCATCTGTCTCTGTGTAACCCCAAGTCTTTCCTGGTTCACTCCTGCCCAGAATACCAACCAGGGTTTTGTTGACACAGGTCGCCGAGCCTCCAGCCTCCGTAAGAGCCAAAACAGACGACGCCTCTTCCCAGTCCCCCGCGTCTTCCGACAAGGACAAGTCGTCCAGCTGGCTGCGGGCACTGCCTGGCTCCTCCAGCAAGGTGCCGGTCAGGCCCGCGGGGAGGGGGGCCCTGGGCTGCTCCCCAGTGGACTCTGCTGCTGGCCCTGCCACTGGCCAGCTGCTCATGCAGCGGCTCCTTCCCGACAGGGCCTCAGCTGTGTGCATCCTCGCCAGCGTCTCTCTGCGTTCCGACCCTGGTCCCCTGCAATCTCCAGTGAGAAGGAGCTGTCACCCCACCTGCCGGCACTGATCCGAGACAGGTGACAGCTGCACCCCACCCCACCCCCTGCTGCCCCCAGGAGCCCCTCGCCTCCTGCCAAGGCACCGTACTAGTGCTGCTGTGTATTGTTGGCATCAGGATGGAGCTGCCTGGACCTCTCTGGTTCTTGGGGGGCCCTGCCTGGCAGGGTTCATGGTCTAGGAAAGCTGTTCTCCAAGGGGTGTGCCCTGTGGTGGCTTCTGCATGCTGTGGCGGGTGGGCAGAACGCCATGCCAGCTCCTGCACCCCCCTGCAGCTTTTACTCCTACAAGAGCTTTGAGACTGCCGTGGCCCCCAACGTGGCCCTTGCGCCACCAGCCCCAAAGGTCGTGAGCAGCCCGCCGTGCACCGTCGTATCCCGGGTGCCAGAACCTCTCCCCACGTGCATCCAGCCACGGAAGCGAAAGCTGGCAGTGGATGCCCCTGGAGCCCCAGAGGTGCTGGCACCTGGCCCTGGCCCGGAGGAAGACAAGGACTCGGAGGCAGAGGTGGAAGTGGAGAGTAGAGAAGAATGTAAGTGCGTGGGCTAGCTGGGGCCAGGGCACAGGCGTGCAGCTGGGCCTCCGTGGGCACCCGCTGACGGGCCCTGGGGGCGCGGGGCTGTGTGGCTGGGCCTCCATGGGCGCCTGCTGACTTGCCCCCATCTCTGTCCTCAGTCACCTCCTCCCCGTCCTTTGCCTCGTCCAGCTCCGCCAAAGACCTGAGCTCCCCAGGCGTGCGTGCCCCACCCTCGGCTGCCCCAGACCCTGTGGCCCAGGCTGATACTCCGAGCGGGCTGGAGGCAGAGCTGGAGCACCTGCGACAGGCCCTGGAAGGCGGCCTGGACACGAGGGAGGCCAAGGAGAAGTTCCTGCACGAGGTGGTCAAGATGCGCGTGAAGCAAGAGGAGAAGCTGAGCGCAGCCCTGCAGGCCAAGAGGAGCCTGCACCAGGTGAGGCCGTGTGTGCGCTGACGGGGTGTGCACCAGGTGAGGCCGTGTGTGCGCTGACGGGGTGTGCACCAGGTGAGGCCGTGTGTGCGCTGACGGGGTGTGCACCAGGTGAGGCCGTGTGTGCGCTGACGGGGTGTGCACCAGGTGAGGCCGTGTGTGCGCTGACGGGGTGTGCACCAGGTGAGGCCGTGTGTGCGCTGACGGGGTGTGCACCAGGTGAGGCCGAGTGTGCGCTGACGGGGTGTGCACCAGGTGAGGCCGTGTGTGCGCTGACGGGGTGTGCACCAGGTGAGGCCGTGTGTGCGCTGACGGGGTGTGCACCAGGTGAGGCCGTGTGTGCGCTGACGGGGTGTGCACCAGGTGAGGCCGAGTGTGCGCTGACGCGGTGTGCACCAGGTGAGGCCGTGTGTGCGCTGACGGGGTGTGCACAGGGAGTGTGTGTGCTGACGGGGTGTACAGGAAGTATGTGCACGCTGACGCGGTGTGGGGTGTGAGTGTGCACCAGCGGTATGTATGTGATGTGTGTGTACACTCCCGTGTGTGTGCTGTCTCTCCAAGGTGCCTGCTGTCTGCACAGCCTAGGGCCTCCCTTGCAGCTTTTTTTTTTTTAAATGTGTTTGAAGAGCTGAGTTACATAGAGAGGGAGAAACAGATCCACCATGCACAAATGGGTGACAGGCAGCGTGGTGCTGGACCACAGCCATGAGCCCGGTTGGGTCCCCCTCGTGGAGTGGCAGCAGCGGCAGTCGTGCAAACGTTCGGGCCGACCTCCACTGCCTCGCAGACCACGAGCGGGAAGCTGGGTGGCCAAGTGGAGCAGCCGGGACTCAAGCTGCTGTCACGGGTAGTGGCTTCATCCCAGCGCCGACCTTCTGTTTGTTCTGCCATGACGAGGGGAGCCCGGGGGCCCTTAGGGGCTCCATTCTCAGCCCAGCGGCCCTCGTGTGTCTGTGGCCGGAGTGGGTTATAGCTGAACGGGAAGGCAGGATGTACGCCTGCGCGTTCTGAGCCCTTGCAGGACAGACCTGGACCCGTGGGCAGCTGCTGGCAGCCCAAAGCTGGGGCCTCCCTGTGGGGCATAGGGCTGGTGGGCATAGGGCTGGAGGCCGGGGCCTGAGCCCGCCGCGCATCCCCCACCTCCAGGAGCTGGAGTTCCTGCGCGTGGCCAAGAAGGAGAAGCTGCGGGAGGCCACGGAGGCCAAGCGCAGCCTGCGGAAGGAGATCGAACGGCTCCGTGCCGAGAACGAGAAGAAGATGAAGGAGGCCACGGAGGTGCGCCTGCGCCTCAAGCGGGAGCTGGAGCAGGCGCGGCAGGCCCGGGTATGCGACCAGGGCTGCGAGGCCGGCCGCCTGCGCGCCAAGTACTCGGCCCAGGTAGGCGGCGGGCCGCAGCAGCTGTGGGGTGTGCTGGGCCGCAGGTGGCCGAGCCTGGGACCGTGCTGTCTCCACCCGGGTCCTGTCGGGACCACAGAGGCCCCGGGAACGGCCCTGCTGGCTGGTTTGCACAGGGCCAGGCCCGGGAGGTGGGAGGGTGGCTGGGGCTGGTGGGGGACAGGACGGAGGAGGCGGTCATGGGGGCTCGCCCGGCGGGGCCTGACCGTCATGTCCTTTCAGATCGAGGACCTGCAGGTGAAGCTGCAGCATGCCGAGGCCGACCGTGAGCAGCTGCGGGCCGACCTGCTGCGGGAACGTGAGGCCCGCGAGCACCTGGAGAAGGTGGTGAAGGGGCTGCAGGAGCAGCTGTGGCCCCGGCCCGAGCACACGGCCGGTGAGGGCACTGCCGAGCTGGAACCCTAACGGCCGCAGCCCGGACTTGCCCACCGGCGCGGCGGCCGCCAGCACACGTCTCACTGTGCCTCCCTGCGCGGTGTCAGCAGCCACATGCTGGCGGGGGCCACTGCCCAGGGACCGGCTCCCGTGGCAGCTCGTGGCTGCTCCTCCGCTTGCTAGAACATTCTAACATTTACACTTTTGTTATAAGCTATTTAAACCAATATGGAGACTTGAGACTCAGAAAACCAACCTTTTTTAATGACCGACTTTTCAAAGCCCCAACACGTGATGCCATCCGAGACCCGGGGCAGCACCGCCTGCCCGCCGGGAAGCCATCTCCACCCCTCGGTGCCCACGGCGGCAGTGGACAGCACAGATGTCTTCAGAGTCTATTTTTTCAGCCCTGGGACCCGACTCCCTCGCTGCCGCCAGGAGGAGTGGGGGGAGGGAGCACCACGTGCGAGATGAGCCCACGCTGCCCGTCTGATGCCCCATGCCAGGGCACCAGGAAGGGCAGGCCCAGGCGTTGTGCAGGGACCGTCCCTCGGCCCCCTGGGCCCCCTCGGCCCCAGGGCCCATCCGCCGCCCGCAGGCCCTGACCTGCGCCCGGTGGGGGGGGCCTGGCCGGCCGGGCCCACCCTCAGCCCCTGAGCCCCGTGCCTATGGCACCTCCCCCTTGAGGTCTGAGGCTGCAGCGTCGGAACAACGCAGCATCCCATCCCGTGTGTGCGTGCGTCCGTCCGTTCATGTAGCCGTGACCCTGTACCTAGAACTGCACTTTGTCCCCGCCCTGCTCCCGTCCCCGGTGAGCCGAGCTTTTCCCCGACGGAGCAGCCCTCAGTGCTGCTCAGGCCCTCTGGTGCTCGCAACAGGGAGTCCCACGGAACGGAGACGCCGCGCTGGACCGAGGGGGTCGCTCTGTGCCTTCCAGCATCTTGTACAGCCCACCCTGACGCGTCTTACGCCCCCGTCTCCAGTAGCGATGGAACCTGCCAGAATAAGTTAGTGCATTTATTCCAGATAATCTCGTTTACTCGCGACTGTTTATGCAAATCATAGAAGGTTTCTGACGCCCAAGCTTGAAGAACGACTCTGCGGTGGACAAGAGGCGGCCACCAGCCCGTGATCGAGGTATTTATTAACGGAAGGAAAGTCTTCACTCGAAGCCGTAACCACAAACCGTGGCTGCCGACCCTTAGGCGGTACCGCCTGCAAGTCGCCCCAGCCCCTGCCAAGTGCCCTGCTAAGGGGCATGGCCTGTGCGCCCCCTCCGGGGCAGGTCCACCCTGGGCATTAGCTCGTGGATACCCCCTGCCCTGTTTTGCCACGTGTCTTTTCCATCACTTTCTTGAGGGAAACCAAGTGGTTTTGTCAGAGCCTAGCTTTAATGTGTCGGCCTCCGTGTGGCTTCTGTGTCACCCAGCCTGAGATGGCAAGGGCCAGCCAGGCTGCCAGTCCCCTCGCTCCGCAGGGAGAAGCCGGGGGTGGAGCCTCTCCTGGCCTGGCTGGGCTCTGGCCCAGCGCCCCACCCCGGCCCTGGAAGCCGAGGCGGACAGGCTCCCTTCACCAGCAGCTCAGCCCCGCTGGGCCCTGTACCCCTGAGGCCTGGATGCCCACCCTGGGCTGGGCTCCAGTTCTCCGGGCAGCTTCGTGCCCTGGCTCCCTCCCGGTGCCTGTGGGGGCCGGGGTCGGGCATCCCCTGGGCAGGCTAGGCTGTTGACTCCCGTCTAGGACCCTCCACCAGACGCCGTCCGTCCAGTGTCCGTCCAGTTGTTTTCTCTGCCAGGAGAGAAGGTATTTTACGAAGGGAAAACCAACAGCAATAACGTTGCTATCTCGAGCAGCTAAGCGCCACTAACTGCCGCAGCCAGGGCGAGGACCGCTGTGCGCATCCCTCCGCGACGCCGTTGTATCATACGCGGACATGCCGGCCCCTCCTCCCCGTGCCCGTCCTGTTTTCTGGGTTTTAACGGACATGCTCCATGCGGGGGCCAGAGAAGCGCCCACCGCCGGCCCGATCCTGTCCACTGCCGCCCGCTGGGCTGGGGCGGGGCGTTTCCGTTCTTGCTTTAAGTCAGGAGTCACAAATGACTTTTTTTTTCAATTAAGGAAAAAAAGAAAAGCCACTTCGACCTTTCCAGCCCCGGCCACCCCGCACCCCGCGACCTTTGCTGCTGCTACGATATTGCTTCCTCGGCTACTCGGGAACTATTTTTATGTAATTAATGTACGCTTTCTCGTTTATAAATGCCTGATTTCAACAGATCCAGCTGCTTCTGTGTGCCAAGGGACCCGGAGCCAGGCCTGTGGGTGTCCCCTCCATGGACACCATTTCGGGGGGCCCTTGAGGTCCTGCACCCAGCATGCTGGCCTGGCCTCCTGGGGGGTGAATTCTCGGGGCCCTGACGTCACAGCAGGACACCCCCGGGGAGAACCCGAAGCCAGGGCCAGAGGGGGGCTTGCTCACAAGCAGCCCCTCCCCTGGGACCCCAGAGTAGAGTATGTGGGTCAGGCTCACAGAACCTGCCCTGGGGGCTGTTTCAGCAGGGCACTAACCAGTCCAGCTGCCCACCTCCAAGCCCCCAGGCCCTGCCTCACCAGGTTGACTTCTGCATGTACCAGCCGCCCGACACCCGTCTTCTGAGCCCCATAGGTTTCGCCCAGGCCGCTTTCCCCCATCCACCTGACTGAGGTCCTGTGGTCAGGGGCTGACAGCAGCCACAGACCCTTCCTCAGGGAGGCGGTCACAGACTGGCAGGGGTTACAGGGCCAGCCACGTTCCCAGCCTGGCCAACCACGTTCCCAGCCTGGCCCAGGCTTGGCCTTCCACACCCCGGGCGCCTGTCCCAGTGTCAGAAGGCCTGCATCAGGTCTTCCTGCACAGGACATGGCTGTGGGGAAGGGCAGGGAGGCCCCCTCTGCCATTTGGGAACTGGATGCCTGCCCACCCCTGCCACCCCGTGGTCCTGTGACGCACGTGGCCATCTGCGCCCAGCCCTGGAGCAGGTGGCCCCACCGCGGGTGGGCACAGCAGCCTGTGTGGGGCCAGGTGTCCTGCCATGCTGAACCTCAGCCCGCGTGACCAGGAAGCTGGGCCCTGGCGTAGTGCGCCTGGGGGAACCTGGGCTGGGGGCTGAGTCCACCAGCCCTGCCCAGGCCCGCTTAGGGTATCAGCCTGGTAAGCACGCCCAGGGCTCTGGGGGAGGCCAGGCAGGGGCACCCCAGCTTCCGCCGTGGTCCAGAGCTGGGACGGCCCTGCTGGCTTTGGACAGTCTTCCTGGGTGCCAGCGTGTGACCTGACTGCACGAGTGTGCAGGTACGTGGGCATGTGGAGAGGCAGGAGCCGGACAGTAGAGCCGCTGTGTACGCGCCAGTGGGTAGGAGGGAGGCAGCCTCTGCCAGGCCCTGGTGCCCCCGTACGCCTTCCCTCCAGCCAAGCCCCACCCCACCCCTACTGCCTTCACCAGAACCCCCGGGCCCCCGGGCCCTACCGCCCCAGCCCCAGTCAGCCCTTGCCAGGCCACCCTGCTTGGCCCTGACCCTGTTGCAGGACTCATGGGCTGGAAGGAGGGGCTCCACTGCCCGGCCTGGTGCAGGGGTTCTGGGGCTGGGGGTACCAGAGGGCCCCCACCAATCCGGCCTTACTGGTCACCCCAAAGAAACCCTAGGGGTGAAGGGGAGGGCGGCGACACCCCCCGAATCCCCTGCCTCGCCCACACTGCCCAGGGCGCGGCCCGCACTTCCTAACCGGAGTCACCGCCCAGTCTCACTTCCCTTCCTCTCGCCCGGCGGGGCTGCAGGGAGGGGGAGGCGGGGGTCGCACCGGGGGACCCTGCCTGGCACGGGCCTGCCTCTGGAGGGGCTTCAGTGCGACCCCTGACGGCCAAGGCAGGAACTGAAGCCGCATGGAGGAACGCCCCAGCTGGGGGTGGAGAGCACAGACCAGACCCGCCTCATTCTTGGCGCATCCAGCCTGGTCACCCTTCCCACCCCTTCCTGGGGATTCTGTGGCCCAGAAGGACTTTGGCGGCCAGGGAGGGGCCAGGAGGCTGCTGGGCTCTCTCTGGCCCTCAGGCAGTGGTCAGCCTGTGTCCCTGGCCATGGCCACCAAGACCCACTAGGAAGTCCTGTGGAGGAGGGCCCAGTTCCATGCAGCTGGTCTCCCGCCTGCCCGCACTGCAGGCAGGGCTGTGGGACTGGGTCACAGCCCTGTGGACCATGAGGTCTGGGCCCCCAGGAAGGGTAGCCTGGGTCCATTCTATTATTTATTTATTTATTTATTTATTTTATTGAAAAGGCAGATATACAGAGAGGAGAGACAGAGAGGAAGATCCTCCGCCCGATGATTCACTCCCCAAGTGAGCGCAACAGCCGATGCCATGCTGATCCAAAGCCAGGAGCCTCTTCCGGGTCTCCCACATGGGTGCAGGGTCCCAAAGCTTTGGGCCGTCCTCGACTGCTTTCCCAGGCCACAGGCAGGGAGCTGGAAGGGAAGTGGGGCTGCTGGGATAGAACCGGTGCCCATTTGGGATCCCGGGCGTGCAAGGCGAGGACCTTAACCACTTGTGCCACCGCGCTGGGCCTGCCTGGGTCCATTCTTACTGACGCACGGCTCTCGGGTGGCCTGGCAGGTACCTCCCCCAAGCCACAGCTGCTCCGCGGAGCAGACCTGCCTGCGTATCCTCCCTGGAAGCATGGCACAGCAGAGGAGGGCTGTGGCCAGAGCAGTGGGCAGCCCTGGCCAGGCCAGGGACCTTTGAGGGCCAGAGCCCAGAGCGACCAGCTTGAGCTGCACCTGCCTGCAGCCAGCCTGGGGCTTGGCGACTTCTCTGAAGAGCTGTTTGCTTTTATTGGAAAGGCAGATTTGCAGAGACAGAAGCTGAGCCAATCCCAAGGCTTTGGGCCGGCCTCTGCTACTTTGCCAGGCTACAAGCAGGAAGCTGTGTGAGAAGTGGGGCAGCTGGGACATGACCCTGTGTCCATACGGGATCCTGGAGGGCACGTGCAAGATTCAGCCACTGAGCGAGTGCGTCAGGCCCCCAGCAACTTCTTTATAAACTGGGATTTCCTTCCCGCCAAACGGCCACTTTGGGCAAGCCTCCGACGGTGGCCAGCTGAGAGCAGGGGTTGGGGTTGTGTGGGGCCCTTGGGGCTGGCCACATGGACGGGGCAAGGTGCAGTATTTGGTGGGCCCCTCACTGGTGAGAGCCTGGGAGAGGGTACAGATGGTGCAAGGTGGGGAAGGGGCATCTAGTGGACAGATTGGACGGCACCTGGGCAGGTGGCACAGCCAGGGCCACCCACACGCCTAGCAGCCAGGGCTCGGGGGACAGTCAAGGACCTTCTCAGCCACGGGTGACCTGTGGGGCGGCAGGGAGACCCCTGGACTGGGACATGGTCAGCACAAACTAACCCTGGGAAGGATTGAGTTCTAGAAGCACTGCCCACTGCCTGCGGTGCGGGCGAGCTTTATTGAGGGCAGGAGGGGTGGGGCGGGACAGCAGCGCAGGGGGCTGTAGCAGGCGGGTCTGCTCAGACTGGTGCAACCTGATGTGTGGACGCGGGCAGCGCAGGGGCTCCAGGGTCACCTTCAGGGCTGGGCCTCTCTCACAATCCGCAAGTGCTGGAAGGCGGGGGGTAGCGTGCAGCCCAGGAAGGGGGGCACAGTCAGGTCCCGCACCACGAGCACGTATTCCCCTGCAAGGTGGTATCATGGCGCGAGCTCAGTCTAACTCCGCCTAGTGGACCCCCAGGCCCCCCCAGTGGGCCCCAGGACCCTGAAGGCTCATGGGAAGCAGTGGATCGGACAGAAAGCCGCCTCTGACCTCAGGCCACAGGCCCAGCCTGTCCTGGAGACCGAGCTGTGCCCCTTCCGCAGGGCACCCCCCACGCGTCTGGAGAGGCTCTAGCAGAGGAATGGGCCATTTCCTCTGGCCGCCCCAGGCCCCAGGCTGCGTGCGGGGAGGGGCCCTGATTTTCCTTCCGTCTGGGGCCTTCTGGGGAACCTCAAACTTGGAACAGCCGCAGGGAGGAAAATAGGGAACAACACGGAGTGGAGTTGCCATGGGAACCGTCCTCTCCCCTCCCCGAAGCCCGGCTGGCACCGGAGCGTGGAAAAAGCTCTGGCGGCGGCAGGAATGCGGCGAGGCGGGCGGAGCGCTTCCCGCGGCCGGCGCATTCCTGGGCGGGCCGCGCGCCCGGGGCCGGCCGCCGCGCGTGGCAACGCAGCCGTGTTTCCGAGCGCCCGGTCGCTAGGTGTTCCCGCCTCGGCGGAGCCAGCGTGAGCTCAGCGGGCAGCGGCCGCAGCTGACCCCGCGCGGGAGACACAGGCAGGCCGGGCCGCGGGCCACCACAGTCACGGGGTCCGGCCCGGGCCTGGCGGCACACCCGGACCCCTGAGCTCTGTCCCTCCCTCGCGGGCAGCCGCTTCCACAGTGCCAGCCCTGGCTGAGCGGTGGACACAGTGGGACTGCTGTTGGAGGGCAGTTGTGGGCTCTGTCTCCACCTGGATCAGCAGGGACCTCCGGCAGCCAGCTGTCCTGGTCACATGGGGAGACCCTGTGGACAGGGGCCTGGACTTGGCGGCCCACTGGCCTTCCACAGGGGGACTCGGGGCATCCCACCCCTCCAGGGGACCGTCAGGCTCAGTGACACCAGGGGCTCTGGGACTCTCTGGCATGGAAGGGTTGGGCCCTTGGCTCATGGTCGGGCAGGGTGCTGGACGCCCAAGGGTGAGGTGAGCCAACAGCTGCAAAGGGCTGGGTTCCCTTCCACACGCCCGCCTCCCCTCCACTTCCTGCCCTGGTGGTACCGCAGCCCCTCCCACCATGCGGGCTGAGGTGGGCACGGCACTCTCAGCCCAGGGTCTCACCTACCTGGATAAGCTGCAGCAGGTGGCTCTGGCATGGCCGCTCTACCAGGCCTGCGGGGAAGGGGAGGGACCCTGAGTGTCCTGCCCTGTCCCCAAGCAGGGCCTGCCGTGACCCAAAGGGGCTGTACTTGCAGGACATCCTGCATGTGGCCTGGCCAGGGAGACCACCCAACAAACCACAGGTGACAGGATTGCACGAGGGCAACCCCAAACACCCCCCAGTGGCCCAGGCCTGCCTCGGGGGAGGGTGGGCTGAGCTAGGGTGACTGGTGGCTGTAGGGGACCCCGAGTCAGGGTGGCATCACAGGTGGGGTTCAGTGACCCCCAAACACCTCATTTCTGGTGGGAAGGATGGGGCTATAGTAGGTTCGACTGTGTCAAGGAAAGGGGCACAAGGACCCCTGGGGGCCACAGGGCGCCCCATGCCAGCAGGGGATGACACTGGCCTTGGCTCAGGAGCTCTGGCCAGCACCCCACCCAGGGCCTGTAGACTGACACCTGTGGGGACATCCTGTACCTGGCTCTCCACCCTGGGACACTGGTGGCTGTACTCCAACAGGATTTTGCCCCAGGTGAGCTGGACTAGAGTGGCCTGGGGCCCACCACACACCCCTGCCCTCCTGGCTCTGGACACAGCAACCCCCTCCCCGGGCAGCCCCAGGCTCCCCAGCCGACAGTGGGTGGGGTCCGCGGCCAGCTCCTTGTCTCCTGGACCTGTGCACCAGGGGATGCAGGTTAGAAACGTCTGACCCGCATATCCTACAGGGCGCACCTGTACCTCTCCTGACGCCTACACTTCGTCCTGGGGGAACATGCTGGATTCAGGGATGTGGGGGCTGGGGGTGGCGGGGCCCCTGATGGGGGAGGGCCGGCTGTGTGTACATGCTCCTGGGGATCCTGCAGGGTCAGGGCTTGGCTCAGTGTCTGCAGAGAAGTTGGGTGGCCCTGACTTGCCCAAGGTGGTCAAGCAGGACTGGGTATGGGCTGCCGGGTTCCACGGGCTCTGTGCCCTAAGTGCCCGAGAGGACGCCCTGGCAGGGTGGGTGGCTAGCCCTCTGCCTCCCACTCAGAATTACTGGCCCTGTTACCAACCCCAAGAGACCCTGGATGCAGGCATCGAGCCTGCGAAGCAGGGACCAGGGCCCCGTCCAGGCTGCGTGGGGTCACCTGCAGCCCCTGGGGCCGATGGGGCCTGGCAGGGGGCAGTCAGAGGCTGGGAAGATGTTGTCTGGGCACCAGCTCCCCAGGGATGAGGAAGAACCAGGGACACAAACAGCAGTGGGCTCTCTGGGCCCACGGGGTAGAGGGTGGCAGGCACTGTGGCACCCCGCCAGCCCCGCCTCCCAGGAAGCCCCAGCCGCACCCTCTGGCCTTGGGCAGCTGTGACCAGGCAGTGGCCAGACAGCGGTAGCCCGAGGAGAGCCCTCCTGCCCCCCAGCTGCTGCACAGTGGGCAGGGAAGGGTTAAACTGCTGGCCCGCCTCGCTGGCCGGGGTTATTAGGGGCCGCATCCATCCTACGTCAGGCGGGAAGCATCCGCTGGAGGTGGGGCGGCGCCCTGCGGTCCTCACCGTTTCCCGCCTCTTCCAGGCCCTGCGCCTCACCCCAATGTGGAGAGCACCCCTTCAGCCCATGTCGGGCAGGCCTGGGGATGCACTGGAGGCTTCCTTGGGTGGACTTGGCTGGCCAAGGGTTGGAGGGAGGCTGGAAGGAGGGCTTAGCTTCCCAGTGGGCCCCCAGCACACTGCTGAGCAGAGAAGGGCGGCCACCATGGCCAGAGCCAAGCCGATCCAAAGCCAGGAGCCTGGAGCCTCTTCCGGGTCTCCCATGCGGGTGCAGGGTCCCAAAGCCTTAGGCCGTCCTCAACTGCTTTCCCAGGCCACAAACAGGTAGGTGGATGGGAAGCGGGGCTGCCGGGATTAGAACCAGTGACCATATTGGATCCCAGCGCATGCAAGGTGAGCACTTTAGCCACTAAGCCACTGCACTGGGCCCAATCTGACTTTCCAATTAAAAAAAAGACTCCTGGAGTCAAGGGGGCATGGGGAGTGCTCAGCCACCACCTCACCCACGCCCTCCGTTGCTTGGGGCCTGTGTGCCCTTCTGTGGAAGGGGTGGGTGGGATCTAGGGGCCAGGTGGCAGCAACGCCCCACAGCCTGTCAGGGCCCCTCAAAGCCCAGCACCCCAGAGTGGCCTCTCGCTGCTCCTGCCCTGACAGGGGCTGCTGGAGTCCCAGCTGAGTGTGCAGGGCTGTCAGCCATCAGCTGGGGAGATGGTGGGGCCACATTCCAGCTGCCCCAAGGGAGCCCTTCCACCCTGTGAAGCCTGGCCCCCTCCCCACAGAGCCCCTCTGGCTGTGGACTCCCAGCACGGGCCCTGGTCACTGTGGGCAGGCCCTGTGCCAATGGCATTGCTGGCCTGGTCAGGGTCTGCCAGGGCACAGTGCAGTGGAGTGGCGCTGAATGCCCACGTCTGCCCATGGAGTCCAGCCTCTCCTACCTGTGGCCTCCTAGGGGTTCCTCCGCAGTGGGTGTCGTCCTCCCAGGACACAGGCCTGCCTTCTAGAAGGATCCACAAAGGGTGGGGAGAGAAGGAGGGCCTGCAGTGGCCACAGAAGCCGAGCACCAGGGCAGAGGGCAGCTAGACCTGAGGGTGGGCCTGCTCACCTGGTCGTGGCCCTCCAGGAAGAGGAAGGAGCGGTACCCAGGTGGGGGAGGCCCCAGGAGCAGGTTGGCAAACTTGGCACAGCCAGCCTCTGTGCGCCTTAGCTCCTCCCAGGGGTGCCCAGCGTCCTGGCCCCGGGCTGCAGAGAAAGTGAAGAAATGGTGGGCAGTGTGGACGGGCCGTGAGGGCAGCATGGATGGACAGTGTAGACAGGGCAGTCTGGTGCCCATCCAGTGCCTGCCAAGGCAGCTCTTGATAGCTGACTGGGAGGGGATCCCCCACACACACCTAAAGCCTCGTGTGTGGGCAGTGTCACCTCCTGGGGGCATTCTTGGACAGGGTCCCAGGCTGCACAGGGCAGAGCCAAGCCCACTGCCCGCCGCTGAGGACACTACTAGGGTCGTGGTGCAGGTCTGGGCTGGGGTCACACCACACTGTGACATACGGTCCTTGGGCTGTGTGTCCCTCAGCCCATGTCCCCCACTGATGTCCATCCGAGCAGCCTCCAGATCGGGGTCTCCGCACGTGCACCCTGAGTGGAGGGGGAACAGGGTTGGGAGGGGCTTGGGCCTCCCACCCTGCACAGAGACCCAGCACCATGTGCGGTGGGACAGGGTCCAGAATACCCCAGCTGCCTCCTGGGCCAGGCCAGGCAGGACAGAACGGGCCCGCCGGGGATGCCCGTCACATCTCATTTCTCCTTTTTGTCAGTGTCAAGGAGGCACGGCTCCATTACCGTTTTACGGCAGCTCAATTAGGCCCCCAGTCATCTGTGTAGGGCGCAGAGGCGGCGGGTCCACAGGGACCGCGGTGAACTCAATGGTCCCGAAATGTTACCGGCCCCGTGGGGCAATGCCCGCTTGGAGGTGACTGCGCGTGGTATGCTTACCTTCCACGGTGGACGCTGTCCACGGAGGAGCCGCTTGCTCCAGAGGTGGCACGGCATGAGGCCCTAGGACCCCAGGCAGCAAGCCATGGGCTGGGCCGGCTTCCCACTCCCTCCCTGGCTGTGCCCAGGGCCCCGCCCGGAGGCCCCACACAGCTGACACTGTGCTGGCCCTGTGAAGCCTCAGCTGTAGCCAGACTGTACCTGAGAGCTGGCCTGGCCAAGCAGTCTGTGGGGACTGCAGCACCCCCGCCCAACTGCACCCCTCCTTGCCCGGCGTGCCCATCTAGTACTCATGTTCCCTCCTGCAGCGGTCAGGTCTAGCGGGACACCTGGTGCTGTCCAATGGATACTTAGGGGCAGACATGGCCCCTGGGCCGCAGCTGTGAGCCACGGGCAGGCGAGGGCTGGGTCAGGAGACCCCGAGAAGGAGCCAGCATGGTCCATTCCTGGCACAGGTACAGCCTGCTTTGGGCCAACTGCCAGCCTCCATGTGGGAGACTTGAAGAGGCCTTTGGCTTCAGCCTGGCCCAGCTCAGCTCTGGCCACTGAGCCATCTGGGGAGTGAACCAGCGGATCTAACTGCCTTTGGGACCAGTCTTTAGAAAGCCCACGGTAAGGTTGCTACAGAGTGCCTGGCAGCGGGGCCAAGGGGCCTGGGCTCAGCTCCACTGTGCCCTCTGCAGGACTCCACGGCACTGACCCCCGCCACGGTTCCCTCAGCCCAACCGAGTGGGGGCTCTGGCGACAAGCACTGGGGCCACGCGTCTCCTCCCTCTGGGCCGTGGAGGGCCTCACCCACTGCTAGAGCCCATGCCATGGGGACAGATAGCCACCATGTCCACAGAGGTAGAAGCGTCCCGGGAACTCCCACCACTGGCCCTGTTCACAGGGTGGGCCCCGGCCTCTCCCAGAGCTTACAGAAAGTTCCCAGGTCTGCCAGGGAAAGCTTACAGGTCCTGAGCGGAGGGACAGGACCCGAGTGAGAGGGGGCACTGATGGGATGGGGGACGAGTGTGGGAAACTCCGGTAGGGGCCCTATCCCATCCCTGTTCACCACAGATCATCAACTGGGAGGCCCCGCCCAGGCAGGTGTGCACAGGAGGCCCCGCCCCAGGCAGGTGTGCACATGGGAGGCCCCGCCCCAGGCAGGTGTACACAAGGGAGGCCCCGCCCCAGGCAGGTGTGCACAGGAGGCCTCGCCCCAGCAGGTTGAACCCAGAAGTGGTGTGTCCAGGCAGAGTGAGGATCTGCCCCTACAACCGTTCATGTGTCAGACCAGCCTTATTCCGTCTGGAGAGCAGGCCCCACTGGAAGCCAGCGGGTGGCGCTGTCCCGCCCTGGTTTCCATCCAGGTATTGCTGAGCTCTGCCGGCTGTCCAGGCAGAAGGCGAGGCGTCTTATGTTTGATGCTGCTAACACTACCTGGAAACCAGGCAGAGGCACCCCAGTGCACATGCCCTGCTGGGCGTGTCTGGCCAGGCCTGCAGCTCCTTTGTGCTGGCCCAGGGACCCCGTCCTGGGAGGCCCCCAGGATGTGGACTGCTGGCTGCCTGGCCTAGTGGCATGGACCACTTCAGGGAGAGTGGGACCCAGCCTGCCCCTCCAAGTGTCCACTGCCACGACCAGATTGGGGGGACCAGGGGAGAATGTGGGTTGGGGAGGCTCAGCAGCAGGCATGCAGAGCTCCTCCCCCAAGCCAGCTGCTGGGGCACAGATCGCAGGAGACCACGCAGAGGCTGTGGGGACCAGAATGCAAGGGTCCCCACAGTGCACGTAGAGTTCCCACGGTGCACGTGGTCAGGGTGGGGCAGGGGATCCTGGTAGTGGTACCCTTGGCCCGTGCCGGGGCTGAGCTAGGACTGTTAGAACCTTTACCGGGACGTGACCCCAGCCCATGCGTGCTTGCCAGTGTGGACCCCTGTCCCCTAAGCCCCTGGCTCCCCTAGTCAGGCCCCAGCCAGCCTCCACACCCGTTTCCACGGGATGACACACTTATGTGGCAGGGGCCTGGGTGGCCAGCCCTGGCCACAAGCTGCCGTGGCTGTGCCAGCCCATCCTGCATCTCTCAGCTACCCTGTCCACCCCAACTCACCAGGCAGGCCGGTGACCATGCCCTGCGCTGGGTCCAGCTCTCCCATGCTGGGGAGGGCGTCACCTCCGGGCCCTTCTGCAGCAGCCCTGGGCCCCGGCCCCCCTGGCTGAAAGCTGAACAGCGGATAAGGGATGCACTGGAACCCCCTGAAGGAAAGAGTAGGTGGGTTAGAGAGGCTGGGCCAGGGCCACCCGAGCAGGCTGGGACCTAGGCTGTGAGGGAACCCCGGCCACAGCCTGGCTCCCAGAGCATCGGCCTGTGGTGTGCCTATCAGCACAGCCTTGAGTCCATCCCAGCCTGATGCCCACGCCTCGCCCAGTCTCCCAGCTCTAGTCACCCTGGGGCCACATCCCTAAGTCCACCCCTGGGGAAGGGCCAGGACCTCTTCCAGGACACTGTCTCAGAGGGGCCACAGCAACCTGGGCACTTGGCAGGATCACCCCAGACTCTGGCAGAGGCAGGGAGGCCAGGCCCACTCCCCCACCTGCCATGGCCGGTACTCACAGGGGGGTCTCCATGGGCATCTCTGGCTGGCACTCGCCCTCTACTTGGAAGGAGCTGACCTCAGCGTGGGCCGGGAGCTGCGCACTCCTGAAGCCTGCCGACACACTCAGCAGCCGCCCGCTCTCGCCTCCGGGAGGGGAGAGAAGTGGCATTGGGTTTTGGGGGCCCAGCAGCTGCAGGCAGGAGTCCCACCAGAGGTGCCACGGGGACCGGGGCTCTGGGTATGGCCAGTAGTAACGGAGCATCCCCGATTCACCTACATTAGCCAGGGTGTAGGGACACCTTGGTTTCTGGTCTCCAAGTCAGAGGCACCTGGCTGTCCTGAGGGGCCAGGGCAGCCCCATGGGAGCAGTGCCTGGGGTTGGCTCCATCCCACTGGGTGGATGCCACAGCTCTGCCCACGCATGTGGGGCCACGAAGTGTTGGCCACATGGCCTGTGGCTCTTCAGACTGGAGGCAGCTCTGGAGAACAGGGCAGTGGGGGGCACTGCTGTCACTGAACCACCACCCACACACCTGCTGGGCTCCGCAAGGACCTGAGCAGGGCAGCCTGTGAAAGGCAGGACCAGCCCCCAGGTTGCCCTTCTGGACTCGTGCAGCAATCGGAGGGGCGGCCCTCCTGGCCCCAGGACATGGAGACGGAGGCCCGGGTGGGTTCCTTGTGCAGGTCGCCAGGGCTACCTCAGCCTCAGGCCACAGGGAATTAGACGGAGCCGAAAGGAGGAAAGCGGTCAAGACAGGAACGCACTGGGAGCCCCCCCGCACAGACCTCAGACCCCAGGATGGGCTGAGGCAGCAACAGCTCTAAGCGGGTCTGCCCCCTCCATCAGGGGGCCAAGGAGACCACCTTCCCGACTCTAGGGAGCACCCAGCAAGCCACATGCCAGCATTAGGACATGGGCGACAAGGAGAGCTCAAGTAGTTAGGGGCAGGTGCCTTGGGCCAGCACGCAGCATGGCTGCTGGGATGATGGCTGGGGTGCCCACACTCCCATCATAGCCAGCTTTGAGTCCCGGCCTCAGCTTCCTGTTGATGTGCAACCCTGGGGCACAGTTCTCACACGCAGGCACTCACATTCCTCCTGTGGGGCTCTGGGGGCCACCGTGTTGGGAGCCCGCGGGTGCCCAGCCGCCAGCCCATGCCTGGTGTCCCCTGCCTGCTTACTCTCAGCCACCTCCCCATCGTCCTGCTGCAGCTGCACCACAAGCGAGAAGGGACACCCGTGGGTCACCTCCATCACCTCCGGGCCCAGGATCGTAATCTTCGTGGCTTGCGCTGGGGAGAGAACACGGCTTCAGCGGGTGGCCGCTGCCCGCGACGATCAATGCCCGCCTGGCCCGAGCTGCTCTGGTCAGCACTGCGGGTGCACGGCTGTGGCCTCCCCAGGGCCCAGCATGTACCATGGCCAGCTTGGGCAAGCAGCACCTTGGGATGAACAGCCTGAACAGGAGGCCGGTGGGAGTCCAGGGAATGGGGCGGAGCCTGGCTGGGAGCCACCTGGGGAGACCTGTGGGGGCAACATAGCTTGACCACGTCATGGCAGGAGCCTGAGCCACAGGGCTGGGGGGCGGCGCGACTGGGCAGTCTGTGGCAGGGAGGTTGAGTAGCTGGAGGGTCCATGGCTGAGTGGGTCTGTGGCTGGGCAGCCCGCGGCTGGCAGCAGGACTGTCTGTCTGGCCTGGTCTCGGGGTGCCACCCTCTTCTTAGCTCAGACTAGAAGTTGCATTCCCTGACAGGCACAGTCCTCCCAGGCCCCCTGGTGTGCACGGGGACCTCTGAGGCCAGGCTTGGCTGGCCCTGGACGCAATACCCAGCAGGTTCTCAGGCCAGTTGGCGACACCTACCTGCTGGGTGGCCATTGACCCACAGTCCGTGATAGGTGGCCCCTGAGCAGTGGGCCAAGCTGCCCAGGCCACTGAAGGTGTCACTGTGCCACTGACCCTGCAGGGAGGAAGATACAGCCTCAGCTGGACGCGGCCCATGTCCTTCATCTCACGCCATCCTGAGGGGTGCGTGCCCCCAGAGGCAGCGAGCTGGGAGAGCCAGGCCTCAGCAGCTCCCACAGGGAGGCGGTGTGGCTGGGTGGCCTGGCAGGGAAGTGGTGTGGCGGGGCAGCCTGTGGCTAAATGGGGCCCGTGACTGGATGGACCTGTGGCAGGGAGGTGGTGTGGCTGAGTGGCCCGTGGCTGAATGGACCTGTAGCTGGGCGGCCTGTGGCAGGGAGGTGGTGTGGCTGAGTGACCTGTGGCAGGGAGGTGGTGTGGCTGAGTGGCCCGTGGCTGAATGGACCTGTAGCTGGGCGGCCTGTGGCAGGGAGGTGGTGTGGCTGAGTGGCCCGTGGCTGGATGGACCTGTGGCAGGGCGGCCTGTGGCAGGAAGTGGCCAACATCCTCTGGAAAAGCATTTCCATGGAAACTCAAGACCAAGTCTCCTTTTCTATCCACTCCTGTACCAAGGAGAGTGCGCCCCGGTCCTGGGCTCCACCTCTCCAGCAGTGACCCCAAGGCCAGGTCCCAGGCCTAGCTGTGGGGGTGTAGGATGGTAGGGAGCTAGGCAGGCCCCAGGAGTGGCTGCACCTGGGAAGCAGCCGTCACCCCACCTGAGGTCAGCTGTGGGGAGGAGCCTGTGGTAGAGGGGTGTGAGCTGTGAGCGTGGACAGCACAAGGGACACCAGGTGCTTAGGGGATGCTACAGCTGGCTGGGCAGAACATGGCAGCTGCCTTCCACATGAGCCCCTTGGTGACACAGCTAGGGCCTGACTTCTGGCAATCAGTGACCCCGGGGGGCTGTGCCGTGGCCACCCCGGTCCAGCAGCCAGGGTCTGTCCCACACCACACATTCCCAGTCAGGCCCTAAGCCCCGGGGCAGGAGGCTGGATTGGACCAGGAACTCCCAGCTGTAGCCCATGCCTACCAGGGTGGCTGCACCCGGGAACCAGCCATTGCTGCCCCGGAGGCCAGCTGTGGGGAGGAGTCTGTGGTCACTGAGCCTGCACGGGGCGCCCTGGCCTGGGGCCTTCACTTCCACATGTTCCTGCCCCTCTAGCCATAGTTCCGTGTGCCCAGCAGCTCACCAGCCCCATCCTGGCGTCACATGCCCATGCTGCCCACTGGTCCCTCTGATGGTGCCACGGACGGTGGAGAGGATGCTGGCCTCCGTCCCCTCCCCTGCTCTGCTCCAAGGCCGCTTGGGCCTTGGGCAAGCTAAGCATGGCAGTGTGTGCCAGCCGCGGGGTGTGTCCTGTGGGGCTGCACACAGCAGGTTGCAGAGTGATGCCCGCTCAGGTCACCAGGGCGCTGCTCTGCGCTCATGTCCGTGGAGGCCGTCCCACTCATGAAGCAGCTCAGTGTGGTCCCGGGGGACAGTGCTTACAGCTCCACTGATGGCCTGGTGCCCGTGTCCGTGTTGAGGGTCATGCAAGGCTGGGAGGACAGCCTGGGACATGGAAGGGGACGTTGTGACAAGGACCTGCACAGCTCCACCTCTGTAGCTGCTTGTCCGCCAACCCTCTGCAGTTTCTGCATCCGTGACCTCCCCGGCCACTAACTGCTGGCCAGGGCAGTGGGGGTGGGGGCTGTGGCAGGGCCCTGGCCCTCCGGGACGCGGGACCAGCACAGGGGCGGCAGGGGGCGTCTGCAGGGGAAGACGAGGTGACACAGACCACCTGCTCTGTGCGCGAACAGGTGCACTGACCAGCAGCCCCCCGCCGGGACAGTCAGCCCAGCAGGGACAGCCAAAGCCCGCAGGGCCGGAAGGCAGCAGCTGCTGGAGGGCGTGATGTGGCCACATGGGATGGCGGGACTTGCCAGCAGCCAGCCACATGTGTCACTGCTGCCAGTAGTCCCCCCTGGGGGCCTGACCAGCTGCAGGCAGGGCCCCCAGGAAGTCCCTGACACCCGAGCAGGGAGCAGCCCAGGACCCCCGGGGGCTGGTGGGGAAGGGGCCACTCGTGGTCCCCAGGAGGTACTGGTTTTGGCACCTAGTCATTTGTTTATGTGACCATATGGTTCCAGTCTCTCAGAAAAGAGAACCTTCCAGAAGGATTTGTCTGAGAACGGCCACATGGGGTGTGTGTGTGTGTGTGACAGCATGGCTGCAGAGGCCCAGGCACAGTGATGATTGCGGGAGCTCCAGCCCTTGGGCCGTGTCTTCAAGAAAGGTAGAAAAGGCGTGAGGAATGGCGGCCGGGCCGCGGGGCAGCTGCTCCCAGGGCAGCCCACACTTCTGGCGAGCCCGGCTCAGCGGTCAGCGTGGGGAAGCCCAGTGAAGGACAGACCTCCGGGCCAGCTTACAGCAGCAGACGCAAGGCCAAAGCCCACGTGTGAGCTGCTGTACACGGACGGCTCCTGAGCTGACAACACAAGGTAGCTGTCCCCTCCAGGGGCAGGGTGGGCGAGTGCCTCCTGGGCTGGGCGTACACGGAAGGCTGACCCTGACCTAGTGTCCCCTGACTGCCCTGGGTGTGCGGGCACTTGGCCAGGCCTTGCCTGTAGCCGTCGTCGAGAGCCTGGCCTGCCCACCTGGCCCCGTCCACTACGCACACCAGGCTGGGAAGTCACTGCTTGCTCAGCCGTGGTGGGGCTGTGCATTCGGGCGGCTGAGAGCATCCAGGACGTAGGGCCCAGTCATGCTGGGTGGCAGGGGCAGCCCACGGGGTTGCAGGCTGGGCGTGGCCAAGGACCAGGCACAGCTCCATGAGGGCGTTTGAGGGGCAGCGTGTACAGGGGCCCATGGCCGTTGGCCGGCACCTGGAACCGCACACCGCTTGAGCTGGCAGGAAAACTCACTCCAACCCAAGGGGCATCTCCACGGTGCAACCCCCAACTCAGCCAGTGCTAAGCCAGTGCTAAGCCAGGCCTAGGCTGCTGCGGACCGTCCGCGGGGCTGCGCTGCCCCCTGGTGGAGGCTGCCCCCTGGAACCCAGGCAGTGAGGAGGCACTGATGGTACCACGCCGGGTTGCAGGGCGTGGGGTGCCGAGGGCTGTCCTATCACTTCTCTGCCTCAGTTGCCCCATCCTAGAGCACTGCCCTGAGGACCACACCGGAACACGTGCACTGTGTCCTGGGTGGAGCCTGGTGCCCAGGAAGGAATGAACGCACGGCCGGTGGTTCCTTTGCGGACTGGGCTCTCATGCCAGGGCTGCCCGGTGGGTCATGGCCAGGGGTGTGGCTGTGCTGTAGGGGGCCTGGCCAGGTCACGGAGGGTGGCTGGGCTGTCATTCTTGCCCCTTGGCACCCAGCACCCCTTCCTTGCCCCGTGGAGCCCCGAGGCAGGGGCCGGAGCCTAGGCCTCCAAGCTTCTGTTGCGTGTCCCGCCTCTGCCGGACAGCCAGGGACCAGACACGCATGCCGCCAGGCACGCAACCCCACATGGCCCTGCCTGGCCCTGCAGCCGCTGTCCCCCAAGCTAGGCTGCCCACCGGACCCTTCCCTGACAACCGAGTGGCTACTCCTCCCTGTCCTCTCCTGGGTACTTGGACACCCAGCTCTTCCCCAGGCCCCAGGAGTGGGGACTGGCTGCCCTGGGCTTGACTCCTGGTCGGCACACAGCCAGCAGACGGGGGGGTAAGAAGGATGTCCCTGGGCCTGGGTTAAGTGTGCAGACCCCTGACACAGACTGTCCCAAGGACTCAGGACCTGAGGGCAGATGGGCACCCGGGGGCCCCTGCCTATGCTGGAATTTCTCATCCCCACAGGCCTGTTAGCCGGGGTCTTGGGGGCGCCTGTAGGATCCTCTCCATAAACCAAAAACACCTGCTATCCTTGCCCCGAGGGCCACGGGAGACCAGTGTGAGCTGCCCTGAGGGCCATAGGAGACCAGCGTGGGCTGCCTTGAGGGCCAAGCGAGACCAGCATGGTCCCGAGGGCCATGGGAGACCAGCGTGGGCTGCCCTGAGGGCCATGGGAGACCAGCGTGGGCTGCCCCGAGGGCCATGCAAGAGGCTGCAGAGGGAGGACCACTTGGCAAAGGGAAGATGCCCCCGGAGCAGGGAAGATACCTCCTGCGAAGGTAGCCGTGCCAGGGTGGTGCTGAGACACGGGGTGGTGGCCTGGCTGTTCCCTTGGGACCCTGCCGCTGGGACCGCGGCCATCCTGCAGACACATGTGGGGTGGCTCCCCCCATGCCCCCCGGGGCCTCAGGGATACCACCAGGGCCAGGCCAGCTCACGTGGCCCCAGACACTGGCCCCACGATCTTCCCTCCCCCTTGCCCGGGGCGGCAGATACCTCATAGGTGGAGCCATTGGCACAGCACAGCACCCCGTGTCCCTGGCGCTGGTCCCGCACCCAGTCCCCGCTGTATGTGTCACCATTCCTGAGGGACAAGCAGAGGCTGTGGTCAGCAGGGGCCAGGTGGCACTGGTTAGGGTTACTGCTCAGCACGCACTGCCATGACTGAGGCAAAAATAGGCCCTGAGCAGATGGTCCTGTGGGGAAGGGCTGGCGACAGGCGGCTGTGCCCGGCTCCCCCAGCAGGGGACCCCTGTGCCTCTCCTGACTGCCAGGAAAGGAGTGTGTCCTTGGAGCCCGCCTGGAGTCTCCTTCAAACCTGGGGGAGCCCTGCAGCCCCCCATCAGCTACTGGGAGTGGCCCAAGGGGCTTCTGTTGAGCACACACGGGCAGCTCCAGCAGGCAGGGGACACGCCACGTCCCATGTACTCACTTGAAGAGCATCTGCCCCTGGCCATGCCTCTTGTTGTCGTGGAACCAGCCCCGGTACACCTGCCCGGCCTGGTCTACCAGGCATCCGTGTCCTGGAGGAGAGATGGGCTTGGTCCCAACCCAACCTGGGACATTCCTCCTCCACCTCCTGCCTGCCAACAGTGGACTCGGCTTGCTCCAATGGCTGGCAGTGGATTTGGGGGCTCAGCAGCACCCCCTGGAGCAGTCTGGGTCTTCAGAAACATGCCTGGCAGTCACTGGGAAAGGGAGGCGTGGGATCCGCCCAGCCCAAGGCCTCAGAGCCCCCAGCCCGGCTTCCTGGGGTGCGCTGAGTGGGGGATCCCCAGTGGGCTCTAGCTGACCCACGCGGCACAGGTGGGAACTTGCTTACTGCCAGTGGCCCTTGAGGACCACGACCATCACACAACACGCCGGGCTGCACCAAGTCCCCGCGGGAGGTTTATTCATTTCTAGCTCTCTGTGGCTCCAGGTAGCACCAGACCCAGTGAGGCGCAGACCTCATGCGGCCCGAGAGCCCGTTGCCCACTCTGCCCGCCTGGGCTGGTGTCCCCATGCCTGCACCTCCTGCTTCCAATCCGTACCTTCCCTGGTGCCCTGGACCAGCTGCCCCTCGTAGTGTCCCCCGGCCTTGTACTCCATGACACCGTGGCCATGAGGCTCTCCAAGAACGAACTGTCCTGAATATGAGTTTCCTGTGTGGGTGAGGTGGAACAGTGGTTGGAAAGCGGACAAGCCACCTGTGAGGAGTGGGCGGCATCCCAGCAGCTGGGACAACTGACCCCTCGTGGCTCCTGACGCAGCTGAACTGGGAGGCTGGCAGGGATCAGGCTGGCCTGACCCCAGCCACGGGCGCCTGGGGAGCCCTCATGAAACTTAAAGAAGCAACTGAGGGACTGGAGACGACCCCAGGGCAGAGGGCAGAGCTGCCCAGGCCTGTAGGAGGGACCCTCCTGCACCTGCACAGGGCCCAGCCAATCCTGAGGCCGCGGCGGCTCCAGGAAACACAGTGGGCCCAAGACAGCTTGGAAGCAAACAATGTAACAACTTTGGACATTTTTTAAAAAAGATTTTTTATTGGAAACGCAGATCAGATTTACAGACAAGAGAAGAAACAGAGAGAAAGATCTTCTATCTGCTGGTTCACTCCCCAAGTGGCCGCAATGGCCAGAATTGAGCTGAACTGAAGCCAGGAGCCAGGAACTTCCTCCTGGTCTCAAAAGCAGGTGCAGGGTCCTCCGCTCTCTCCCAGGCCACAGGCAGGGAGCTGGATGGGAAGTGGAGCAGCTGGGATAGGAACCGGAGCCCATACGGGATCCCGGAGCATGCAAGGTGAGGATGCAGCCACTGAGGAATGGGGCCAAGGCTGAGATAAACTTTTTTTTTTTTTAAAGATTTATTTGAGAGTCAAAATTAAAGTGAGGAGAAAGTGGTGATTCTGCAGCAGCCAGGCTGGGCCAGAGGCCGGAGCCAAGATCTCCACCTGGGGTTTCCTCTGCTGCTTTCCCAGGTTTATCAGCAGGCAGTTAGTGGGGTGGCCTGCACCCACAAAGGACACCGGTGCTGGTGGCAGCTTCACCCCTGGCACCATGATGCCGCCACAAGGACACTTCTTTATTTGCACAAAGCGTCAGGGGGTGGGCTGACCAGGGTCCCCGGGCTCCCAGTTTAACACCTGGCGGCTTCCGGGCCAGGAGGCTCACCTGACCAGGCCCAGTAGCGACGGCCCTCGCCCAAAATCTCTCCGTCCACAAAGTCGCCTTCGTAGTAACTCCCATCCTTAAACAGCAGCTTCCCACGGCCTGCGAAGGGAGCAGGGTGGGCCGGGTGTGACGCTGGCCAGACCGAGCCCTGGACAGCAGGGAGCCTGGTCCTTCTGTCTTTCAACCAAAAATCTAAAAAAGCTGTAATGTGGAGGCGACTGCAGCTGGGTGGGGTCGGGTGCACTGGGGCCAGTCCTGGCTCCCCCATCCGGCTTCCGCCGATACCTGGTGCACAAACTTGGGGTGGCAGGGGTCGATGCAAGATCTCTCTCTGCCTTCCAAATAAAATGAAAATACCTGCTTCGAAGACTTGTTTACTTTTATTTGAAAGGCAGAACTACACTGAGAAAGGTCTTCCACCCACTGGCTCCCTCCTCAAATGGCCAGACCACAGCCCCGAGCCAGGAGGGTACAGGGAACCAGGGACGGGCCGTCCTCCGCTGCTTTCCCAGGTCGTCAGCAGGGAGTGGCCCAAGCGCAGCAGCGGGGACTCGAACAAGGTGCGGGTGGGGGACCGGGAGAGGCAGCGGCTGCTCGGGGGAGCAAGCTGAGGCCCCGGGAGCGAAGCCACCACCTGCAACCCGGCCTGACGCCCACGTCTGCACCTAAGCCCCGCGCAGCGCCCGCTCTCCGGACCCCACAGCGGCCCCGGGCCTCACCGTGTTCCTTCCCGCCTTTCCACTCGCCTTCGTACCGGAAGAAGGAATTCGTGTATACGTGGACACCATAGCCTGGGCGTGGACAGCGGGGCCGCCGATGAGCGCGTCTGTCCGCAGGGCCCGCGCCCACGGCCGCCTGCACAGCCAGGGGGTCCCGCCCTGGTCGCGGGGGCTCTCCCTGCCCGTGCCCGCCCCGCGGGGGGGACGGTGCAGGACCCCCCGCTCCCATGTGGGGGATCCCGGGACCGCGGCGGCTCAGCCCTCACCGTCCCGCGGCGGGAGCCGGCGGACCCTCCGCTCGCTGGCGGCCGCCATGTTGCCGCGGTGGGTTTCCCTAGCAACCTCAAGGACCCTTTCCCATTGGTCCCTCGTTGCTGGGGGCGGGCCTCAGGGCGCAAGTCCCGGATGATGACTCTCCCCGGCGCGGAGCGAACGCGGACCCGGGTCCCGAAGGAGCTACTGCGCGTGCGTGGCGGGCGCATTTCCGTCGCTGCACCGAGAGTGGCGCCCGCAACGGCCTGGACGTCCGCGCCGGAAGCGGAAATGGTTGGAGGCCCGCGCCCCGCCCCCGCGGCCATCTTGGAAGCCCCGGAGGCGGCGCCGCGGAGGACGGGGCGGAAGTTCCCGGGGCGGCTGCCGGGAGCCCGAGCTAGCGCGGCGGCCCTGCCCCGTCCCCTTCCCGCGGCCGTGAGGGAGACCGCAGCGTGGGCGCCGCGGAGCTGCGAGGTGCCGGGCTCGGGGTTGGCGGGGGGCGCCGCCTCCGCCTCTTTCCGCGCTGTCAAGGCCGCGGGCGGGGTCGGGCCGGTTCCCCGGGGCGGACGGGCCGAGTGCGGGCCGGGAGCCCCGGGAGCGGGCAGACCTGGGGTCGGGGTGCAGGACCACCGTGTGGGGAGTCGGGGTGCAGGAGGGCAGGCCGGCAGGCTGGAGTCGTGGTGCAGGACTTCCGTGTGGGGAGTCGGGGTGCAGACCGGGGGTCGGGGTGCGTGACCTCCGTGTGGGGAGTCGGGGTGCAGCCCGGGGGTCCGAGGCAGGAGGGCAGGCTGGAGTCGAGGGGCAGATTAAGGAGAAGGCCGTGGGCCATGGGGGCAGGCAGGTCGGGGGCACCGAGAGCCGGGGGGCTCGTCTGGGTTCAGGCTGGGTTGCCGGGAGGTGTAGGCTGGTGGCCAGTCCCGCACACCCCTGTGCCCGCCTGCACGGCCCGGATGCCTTTGTGGGGTGTGGTGTCAGGACCTCCGTGTGGGGTTCGGGTGGGGTTCTAGGTGGAGGCGCTGGGGCAGCTAGCTGCTCCGGCTTCTGTTGACGGCGTTCCACATGGTTCCGCATGAAGGCGGTAGATTGAAGCGAAGGTGCGGTGGCCGTGCGCTCAGGGAGCCAGCCGAGAACTGCTTCCTGTCCGGGCCGTGTGCCCACGCGGGACAGCTGCCTCTCTGGCGGTGCCTGGTTGGCCAGGCGGGACTGGCACCTCTGGGAGGCCCTTCAAATGCAAATGAGGGCCTGGGCAGTGGACTCTGTCACCCGGCTCTGCCGGCTGTCTACTCCCGGTGGTCACGCCCGGTGGGAGGCAGCCCTGGCCCAGTGGGCGAAGGGTTGGGGAAAGGGGTGTGAGACCAGGCCTGGGGGCTGCAGATCAGGCACAGCTGTGGGCCTCAGGCAGTGCCCCAGGAGGCAGCCCTGGGGCTTTTGCTCTTTCGTTTTCCTTTCCTGGGCCTGAGGACGAAGCAGTGGGCATCCCAGCCCAGAGAGGCCGCAGGAGTGAGGAGGCGTGGCGGGGCTGCCCGCCCCTCTGTGGGGAACAGGGTGGGAGGCCTGCACCGTGCCCGGGTAGGTGCAGGGGTGGGACAGAACCTTGGGTCGTGTGGGGAGGTGTGTGCCCTGACAGGGCGAGGCCCTGGGTTATCTGTGCCAGGGCGAGCTGGTGCCCTGTGTTCTTCACGCTCCGTTTAAGGGTCTCAGTGGCAAATGCTGGTTAGCGGGCGGAGGGCGTGTCGGCAGGGCGTGGAGGAGACAGCGGAGCAGCTCTGCCCCGGCCCGGCTTTGGTCAGCATCCCCTATGCTCGGAGGAGTTTTTCCCCATGAGGAACACCTTGTGTGTCCCGGAAGGCATGGTCGGCCTGCTGTGCCCCAGGGGGCCAGCGACTGGGGCCTGTGCCGCGTGAGGAACTGCTCGGTGGCTCGTTGCTGCCCCGTGGGCACATCGGCGAGCCAGCCGTCTAAGTCCAGCTCGTTGGAGGCGGAGCAGAAGCAGAGACAGCCTGGCGTCTGCTGGTCTGCTCTCATGCCCACCACAGCCCTGCTGGCCCAGGAGCAGAGTGCTGTGCCCTGAGACTCTGCAGCAGCCTGTGCCCAGCCCCTCGGAGCCTCAGGCCACCTGGTAGTTGCAGGTGCCCCTCCGGGTGTTTGATGCCTTCTGCCGCATCTCCCCTCGGTCACAGGCTCAGAGCCTCGCTGGCCGTGCATGTGGGGTTCCTCCTTTATTAAGCAGGTGCTGTGTCACATGGCCTTGGCGTCTGGGTGCTTGCAGGCGGAGTCCTCTGGACCTAGGCAGTGTGTGGAGTAGTGGGCACCACTGCTGGCACGTGGAAACTGGGCTGAGGGGCACCTGCTCCCACTGTGGCCCTCGTGTGCAGTGCTGGTGGCCTGGGCAGCCCGGGCCCTGTGCTCGCCTTCCGCCGGAGCCTCTGGCTTTTGTGTGAACAGGGCCTGCTCAGGTGAATTGTCGCCTGTCACACTCTGGCCTGAGAGCATCCTGTTCTCACTGTTGCAGAATGTCTGAAGGGGACAGTGTCGGCGAGTCGGTGCACGGGAAGCCATCCGCGGCGTACAGGTTCATCACGCGGCTTGGGCAGGTGGGTGGAAGTGCGGTGTGGGTCGCCGCCCCGAGGGTGTTTGAACAACAGCTTTGCTTAAGCTGAGGCCATGCCGTTGGGGCTGGGGTTTGAGGGCTGCCTCTGTGTACTGGGGCCTCTGCTTTCTTTGTAAAACAAACAACACAAAACTGTGGGTGGTGGGATGCGTGGACGAGCTGCCGCCGGCCCTGCCCCCTGAAGGGGGGCCGCTGCTGCCTCATTTGGGACTCTGATGTTTGGGTTACATGAAAAATCTTTCTGCCTGTTGAGACCGGGTGCTGAGTGTGTGGGTGTTGTCTTGTATGAAGGTGCAGTTTTCCACGTTAGGATTTTTAAATCGGCATTAAAGGTGTGCGTGAGTCCGCCTAGTCCATCCGCGTCTCAGGGTCCCCAGAGCACGGCTGGCGAGGCCGCGGGGTACGTGGCGCCTCTGAGGGGTGCTCCTGCTTTCTCTGCTGCAGTCCGATCTTTGGGGTGAAGTGGGGGGTCCTGGAATGGCCCCTTTGACACTGCACCCCGCCTGGAGCACGTGTGTCGAGTTTGCGGAGATGACATTGCTTCAGGAATTAATGCAGAATTGGGTTGTCGCCACTGGTGTGTGCTAAGGGTGTGCGTGATTGAGAGCGGTCTTGCAGTTTAAACTGGCTCTCTGGGCACCGCGAGTGGCCCTGGTGGGATGCAGCCAGGCTGTGGTGCCTTTGAACTCCGCCTTTGCAGGTTTACCAGTCCTGGCTGGACAAGTCCACACCTTACACGGCTATGCGATGGGTCGTGACGCTGGGCCTGAGCTTCGTCTACATGGTCCGAGTCTACCTGCTGCAGGTAGGGGTCTCCCGGCGGGCTCTGCTGTGTCCTCTGGGGCTCCTGCTGCGGGCAGTACCACCTCCGTCCCTGCGCCCTCGGGGAGCCCAGGCCAGGCAGCCGGAGTCGGCACCTTTTGCCCGGCCTGGCGAGTGCACCCCCCACACCTCAGCTTGATGGGGTGTGTCTGCTGCAGACGGGGCGCACGTGCACGGTGTGACCTCCTGCCTGCCCTAGGGACCCGGCCTGGGGCCTGGCAGCCGTGTCTGCTCCCCGGCCTGACGCCGCCCCGATGCCCGGGTGGGGTGTGTGTGACTGGACGGGCAACTGCAGGGGCGCACTGCCCGGTGCTGGACTCGGGGGGCTGAGCTGGATGGGGAGGTCGCTGCTGGCAGGTTCGTGCCCACTGGGCTGCCCGGCAGCCCGGCCCTGCCCTGGGAGGGTGCGTGCTTGGAGTCTGGGTGTCTGCTTGGAAAAGGTCAGGCCTCACCGTTGCTGACACGCTTCGGTTTCTAATGGGATAAAGCTGACTCTCTTCAAAGCCCCATTTGGGAGTGAGAGGGCCCATGTGCTGGCTCATTCAGACGGCTGGGGACCCTGGGTGCCCGAGTGCCTGCCACGGTGTGCCCCAGTGCCAGGCCACGGTGTGCAAGAGCAGTCAGGTGCTGGTACCTCCGCGCGTCTCCCTGTCCCTCGCTCCCGAGCAGGGCTGGGCTTCCAGGTGCTGGAAACCTCCTGCTCTTCAGGGTCTGTGGTCAGAGGTTGCCAGTGAGTCAGGCGGCAGGGGCCGTCCGTCCGTCCCTCAGTGGGTGGGGCCGCCAGCATCTCCAGGTGTAGAGTGGACACGCACACACTTGTCACCAGGTACCTTGCTGAGCCCGTGGCTTCAGGTGGCAACCACGTGCTTCTGACTGGACTGTTTTTTTTTTAAAAAGGATGTGTTTGAGGACCCGGCATGGTAGCCTAGTAGCTAAAGTCCTCGCCCTGCACACGCCAGGATCCCATATGGGTGCTGGTTCTAATCCCGCAGCTCCACCACTTCCCATCCAGCTCCCTGCCTGTGACATGGGAAAGCAGCAGAGGAGGGCACCCGCGTGGTGGAGCCTCTTCTGGGTCTCACGCGGGTGCAGGGTCCCAAAGCTTTGGGCCGTCCTCGACTGCTTTCCCGGGCCACAGGCAGGGAGCTGGATGGGAAGCGGGGCCGCCGGGATTAGAACCGGCACCCATATGGGATCCCTGGCGTGCAAGGCGAGGACCTTAACCACTGCGCCACCGCACTGGGCCCAAGTAAATCTTTTTTTAAAAAAATGTATTGGAAAGGCAGAATTACAGAGGTTGTCCCTCCACTGGTTTACTCCCAGATGACACAGTGGCCGGAGCTGGGGCCTGGAACTCGATCTGTGTCTCCCATGCGGTTGCAGGGGCCCAGCACGTGGCCATCCTGTGCTACTCTCCCACAGGCAGGGAGCTGGTGGGGAATGGGGCGTCTGGGACTCGGATGGGTGCCCACATGGGACCTGACTCAGGAGGACACAGGCTGGCAGAGGCCCGGGCTGAGCGCGGTAGCGTGGAAGGCAGTGCTCGTGGCCTGCGTGGCCGGCGGCCCCCTGCCCCCGTGCAGCGGGGGGGTGCGGGTGGGGGGTGCACAGGCCGTATCTCCTTTTCCCG